GTGCTTGCATAAAGCAAGTAGTGCATACACTTGTAGCTGTTATGTATCTTTGTAAGTCATTGTAAGCCCATTGTAAGAAAGCGCACGAACCCCCCCCCCGTTATTAAAAAAAATTACAAGTGGGCTCCCCCAAAGTCCATGATATAGTTCGAACACTGGTTGTAGCAGTTAAGTTTAGGTATAAGCCTATTGTTAAGAAATCTAGAATATGGTTATGCAGAATAGGGCATACATTATGTACTTTATAAGTACTAATAAACAGTCAATATGCTAGTAATATGCATGTTAATAAGCAGCTAGTTAATAGTGAATAGTGTTCCCTAAATCCCTTAAGTGTTACCATAATTTTACAACTCTATTTAATTTGAGTCTGGTTTATTTCTCTTTAGGGAATGTTGACAACCAGTAATGTTATCTTGTAGAGAGAGATCCAATTAAAGCAGCACTATGTAACTTTTTCTTTGTTCAAAATGAGCAAAATGTATATAATGAGCGAGTACATAAGATCATATCTGAGTTACTTTTTCAAATAAGTAATGCAAGTTACTTTTTTTATTGATTGACAGCTCTCCTGTCCCCATGTTGAGAGAAAAGAGAAGATGTTACTGTAGTTCTAAAATAAATATGAATATGCATTCATTCATCCTCACTCACAAAAAAAACACAGATTCAGTATTCCTCAAAATGAATAAAAAATAATGCAACTCAGAATATGACGCAAACCTGCAATAATTAAATGTTAAACAACACAAATATCCTTTATGTATTTAATCCCATTCTATTAACGAATGTCTTTGCTTCTGATCCAGTTCAACCGTACTAATAAGCAAAAGTTACTCTAGACAAACATTTGTGTGTATTTTTTTATTGCTGAAGTGTGTTGAAATTTCTTCTTCTGCATTCTACTGTACGGACGTAAATTTACTTTCCCTTCAGCCTGAGGCTTATTCATTTCACTTATGGTGTGAAAAGGCTTTTATATATTTGCCAAAAAATATAATATTAACCGCTAGAGCGCCAAAAGTTACATAGTGCTGCTTTAAAATCCCTCAATGGTATAACTTACTAATAGGGCCCGAGGCAAGAGAGAAAGCACGGCATTGTTATCATTTCAATGATATTATTCATAGTTTAAATATATCAAGCCTATACCGATTGTTTGTAGCTTGTGACGCATGTACTGTAGTCTGCATGCAGTACACCTGACACCAAAGTCTAATTTGAGGTTTCTCTGTGGTTCAGTGTCAGATTGGCCTGGTTTAGATGGCGTTCATCAAGCGAGTGTGTGTGCATGTGTGTTGTCAGTGTTGGAGGCTGAGATCCCCGGGGAGGCAGTGTCATTGCTGCTACAGAAGGATGATACTGCAGCCGGACAGAAGCACAATGCCAGCGGGCCGCAGGAGTCAGAGTGCACACTCACATACCCGTCTCGCCTCATCTACTACCGGAACGAAGCTTCGGAGAGCACCTACCATGACCTGAACACTCACGCTAGGATTCCTGACCCACATGGACAGGTGAGAGCATTCAACCCAGCATCTGTTACAGGTTATATCATAGAAACCCTAAATCTAAATACGGCACAGCTGATGCAGGATATGAGACAGTTTTAATTGAAACGTTTACCCAAACATTACAATTTGCTGATGGTGTACTAATCCTCAGGCCATCCAAGATATAGAGAGTTTGTTTCTTAATCAGATTTGGAGAAATGTAGCATTACATCACTTGCTCACCAGTGGATGCTCTGCAGTGAATGGGTGCCGTCAGAATGAGAGTCCAAACAGCTGATAAAAACATCACAATAATCCACAAGCAATCCACACCACTCCAGTCCATCAGTTAACATCTTGTGAAGTGAAAAACTGCGTGTTTGTCAGAAACAAATCCATCATTAAGACGCTTTTAACTGCATTTTGAGTCCATATATACATAAAATTGTTTTCTCCAGTCTGAATTAGGAGAGAAATATGCACAGATCAAGCACTGTTTACAAGCAAAAACAGTCTAAAACAGCTCTACGTATACTAATATTCAGGTGGATTTTGATGTGAGAGGACAACATGGATGAAGTTTTTCACAGGAGGAAGTGTTATTATGAATTATGGACTCGTATTGTGGCCAGAAGCGGCGGCTTAAAGTTAAAACGTCTTAATGATAGATTTGTTCATTAGAAACACAAAGCTTTTCACTTCACAGGATGTTAATTGATGGACTGGTGTTGTGTGGATTACTTTTGGATTATAGTGATTTCATAGAAATTTTAATTTTTGGGTGAACTATTCCTTTAAGAAACAAAAATAGCCTCCTTCATGTATTCATGATATGATGATTTTAATGAATGACAACGACATGATTGATCTCCCATCCAGCGCTGTCTGTCGTGACCAAACTCCTAAGATGTACATTTCAAAGTCTTTAAAAATTAGGAGTGTGTCTAAAAATTATGGCACACTCTTAATTTTATGATAATTATTTTATTAATGAGGCTAGAAATTCAACCCAAACATTTTACAGCACCATTTGATAAAACCTATTTATTTATTGATTGATTGATTTTTGTTTTGATACTTTAAATGATTTAAATATTGCAAATGAAAGATAATTCATCCTGTGACCTCTCTTTTATTTATTAACTTAATGGAAGCAAACCAAAAGATAAGTTCAAAACAACTTCCCATTATGTACCATTTGAGCTGAAAACAGACATACAAAATCTGACTGTGTCAGCCACGTTTCAGCCAGTCCCGTGCCTTATTGTGATAAGAAGATATGTTTGTGATTATTGCAGCTGCAAATGCCATGACTATGATACTATGAACATTAGGCAGACATTGCTGTGGAATTGCTTCACATTGTTTTGAGCGCACAGTAAAAATAGGCACATTTCCGATGACAGCTCGAGGGAATTGATCTGTAAACAGTGACGGTCGGTCATTCTAGCATCTGGTCTAACACTAAATCTTGACTTTTTTTCCTTCCTCCAATAGGAGGTCCATCTCGCTCAGGCTTCATTTCAACTTCAGGCCTTTGGATCACAATTCATTCTGGACCTCACATTAAACAAGTGAGTATTGCTAAGTTGCTGTTTCACTATATGTTCAGACTCTCACAGGCCTCACACACTCATGACATGCGTTTGCCTCTCATGACTGTTGCAGTGCCAGACTATTGATGTGTTGTGTCTCTGTCAATCTAACACATGCACTTATGGGAATACAGAGCCTCTCTTCTGTGTTACTGGAAGCAAAGTTTCTGCGCTGCTGGGATCCATTTCCATTCAGCTTCACGGAATTACACTGTAAATAACACCATATCTTTCTTTCTTTCTTTCTTTCTTTCTTTCTTTCTTTCTGTCTTTCTGTCTTTCACTTTTTTGTATTCAATATCAAGTGGTGTTGGCCGCCTGAATGGTTATTGCAGGTTTTGTAACCAAAACACTAGATACTGCAACTACACCCTTCAATAATCTAGAAGCTCCAAAGCCAGACATTCATCTGAACGGAATGTGTTTATGTGTGGTTAAAACACACTCACGCACACATAATCCTGTGTGAGAAAGAAGTGAGCTTAGGGGGTGTTCACACAGAATGTGTTTTTCCATTCCAAAGTGCTACTTTTTTCACTGCTTTCCATCCGCATTAGCCGGATGTGTATGACCGTTGCGCTAGTGTCTTTTGCAGCATCTCACACATGAGCAACATGTTTTTGAGATGCCATGTCAAGTTGAAAGAATTTCAACTTTTACACGCAGCGCCGCCCATCGATGACAGTTCCAAAACAGTGGACCAATCAGAAGTCCCTGAAGGCGGGGCAAGCATTGAGAGCTTTTGTTTACAGTAGCAAGTTGGCATTGCAACTGTTTTATGTGTCAGCAACATAGCAGAGAAAGCATTCATATTGGCTGTGTTCGACTCCGGATATAAAAAATTTTCAAACGATTATCACAACCTGTTGCTTTAAAAAAAAAAGAGCCTGATATTCTCTATGTATTCAGCTGTTTGGATATTTTATGTTATTTCCGTTATTGCATCTCAAAAGTGCGTCTCGAGACCCCTGCGTTAGAGGTCTGCATTCCCGCGGCTCTCCCCCGGGAACCGCGGTACCCGACCAGATTTTTTGCGCTGCGGGATTAAATTCCTGAATAAAATGCAGTAGCGGTCGGTAACTCAACTCGGTTTTGTTTATATTTTGCTTAGCCTATAATTTAAAATGAAAGATGTCGTATTTATTTATCTTTCTCTGCGACACTTTTCCTACTGTGTTAACAGAAAAATGTCAAACGAATTTAGTATTTTGACAAGACGAATAAAAATAGCTTAATAGGCTATTTTTGTACAACCTACATTTTTATTTTTTTCTCTCTCTGTGACACTTATTTCCTGTTGTGTTGTAAATGTTAAACGAATTGTATCCTGACAAGACGGATAAAAATAAGAAATACAATTTTTGTACAACATTTTTATTTTCTCTGACACTTTTTTTCCTACTGTGTTGCATAAAATATTAAACGAATTTTGTGTCTTAAGATAATTCATAAATTCAAGTCAAAGTCAATAAATTCAAGACTCTTGACAAGACCAATAAAATAACATACAATTTTGTGCAGACTACACTTTTATCTGTCAGCCTCTCTCTCTTTCTTTCAGTAGCGGAAATTTAAATGTGAGATTCTGGAAAAGAGATCTAAATTTAGCGGAACGGTCGGGCCGGGAAGAAAATTATTCTAAGCGGACAGCGGGTGAACAAAGAGTGAATATATAGCGGGAGCGGGTGGGTGCGGAATAGAACCTTGCGGGAGCGGGACTAAAAAAATTGTCCCGCGCAGACCTCTACCCTGCGTCCTGCGCTGCGCTTTAAAAAAAAATACATTTCTGAGTGCTGCGCCTCGCGTTTTTAGACGAGTTCTGTGTGAATGGCACCTTAATGTGCACTTGTGGTACGTTTCCAATCTTAAAAGTGTATTTTTAAAAAACTACTTGCAGATAGTATAAATTAAAGAAAATATTTTTACCACAGGTTTTACCGACCCCCCCAGAACACAATTCTGACAGAGGGGAAAACCATGGAAAAATGCGATTGGGCTAGTTTTGGCCTAGTTTTTAATAACAATTAGGCTGTTTTTTTTGTTTGTTTTTGTGAAGACCTGGCAACCCTGGGCCCAAGCCAACTCAAAGCTGCATACTCACAAAAGCACAAGACGATAGGAGTGTCAGAGCTCTGTCACCAAACGAAGAATAAACAAGACTGTTTAACAAGAAGTGACAGGACCCTGACATTAACAGTAAATTATTTGTATACTAAGTACTCTTTTTAAAAGGGTCATCGGATGCCCATTTTCCACAAGTTGATATGATTCTTTAGTCTTAATGAAAAGTCTGTAACATGCTTTGGTTAAAATTTCTCAATGGTAGTGTAAAACAACAGCCTTTTTACCTTGTCAAAACAGCTCTGTTCATAGTGAGCCGAATTTTGCATCCGATGACCCCTTTAAAAGTAAGTGTGCTTCCTCTTCAGGAACTCGAGCTGCATTGGCGATTCTGAACCGAGTCCTGCGAGACTAAAAATACTGTAATTGTCAAAGAGGAGTGGTGTCTGTCTGTCAGACCGTTTTGATTGAAATGCGGTTTACCTCCCAGACTCACTCTCTCTCTCTCTCTCTCTCGCTATGCCTCTGTGTGTGCGCGCGCGCGCGTGTGTGTGTGTGTGTGTGGCCGGTGTTGTGCGACAGTCTTGATCTAAATATAGCTGTCCCGCAGCATGCAGCCGAGTGACTGTAGCACAGAGAATCCCACCCCGGATGCACCTGTAAAACACCACTCATCACATCCCTCCATCCCAGCCTCGCCCTGCTCCCCTGTTCTCCCCTGTCCCTTCAGCACGCATGCTTCCTGTGTCAGATTAGATTAATTGAGGTGACATGCTGAGGCGTTATATCATATAACTTTGAACTGTGTTTCGTTTGGTGTGTCTTGATTCTGGAGAATAGAGCTGGTCAGTTCGTATTCCTGATATTAGCATTTTAGCATAGTATTAGCATTTTTAGCATGGGCTCCCACTGGAATTTCAAATGGGTTTTAGAATGGCAAACAGTTCTGAATTTATAAATAAAATAAATGAGATTACTTGAATAGATTCTAGTATAAATTATGCACTTTAGACATCAAATGTGAATTTTTAAATCAATGTGCTCTTTACAAACATACACCACCATTTAAAAGTTTGGTTTGAGTAAGATATTTTTTGTTGTTGTTTTTGAAAGAAATTAATACTTTTATAAAGACACAACACCTTAAATTAATCTAAAGTAACAGTAGACTTTCATATTAATTTCAAAATTTCCAATAAATGCTTTTAAACTTTCTATTCATAATCCTAAAAAGAATACTGAAAGAATGCTGAAAAAAATAAAATAAATAAATTATCACAGTCTTCAGAAAAATATGAACCAGCACAACTGTTTTCAGGTGCTTCTTCAGCAGCAAATCAGCATATTAGAATTTCACATGTGTATTCAGAGCGTGGGTCGCAGAAGGCGTTCCCCTAGCGTTTTCGACGCAGCGTCTCGTTCCCTCGAGGAACCAGGGTTACATACGTAACCTGAGACGTTTTGCACCAATGATTTCTCTGGAAATTATACTTCCAATTAGAAAAAAAAATGTGATTATTAGTATTTAGTGCTTGTTAAGGCATACTATTGCTCAAATGTTAATTTGTGTTGAGGACATTAATGATGTTGCAAATCAGTGCTATTACTTTTCTGAGCAATTTGATCTTTGAATAAAAAAAAATAATAAAAATCCTGCCTAAAGTCATTGTTATGGCGTCGCTGCTGCACCTTGCACTCGAGTTGATTGTGGTTGGCGATTCTGAACCGAGTCCTGCGAGACTAAAAATACTGTAATTGTCAAAGAGGAGTGGTGTCTGTCTGTCAGACCGTTTTGATTGAAATGCGGTTTACCTCCCAGACTCACTCTCTCTCGCTATGCCTCTGTGTGTGCGCGCGCGCGTGTGTGTGTGTGTGTGTGTGTGTGTGGCCGGTGTTGTGCGACAGTCTTGATCTAAATATAGCTGTCCCGCAGCATGCAGCCGAGTGACTGTAGCACAGAGAATCCCACCCCGGATGCACCTGTAAAACACCACTCATCACATCCCTCCATCCCAGCCTCGCCCTGCTCCCCTGTTCTCCCCTGTCCCTTCAGCACGCATGCTTCCTGTGTCAGATTAGATTAATTGAGGTGACATGCTGAGGCGTTATATCATATAACTTTGAACTGTGTTTCGTTTGGTGTGTCTTGATTCTGGAGAATAGAGCTGGTCAGTTCGTATTCCTGATATTAGCATTTTAGCATAGTATTAGCATTTTTAGCATGGGCTCCCACTGGAATTTCAAATGGGTTTTAGAATGGCAAACAGTTCTGAATTTATAAATAAAATAAATGAGATTACTTGAATAGATTCTAGTATAAATTATGCACTTTAGACATCAAATGTGAATTTTTAAATCAATGTGCTCTTTACAAACATACACCACCATTTAAAAGTTTGGTTTGAGTAAGATATTTTTTGTTGTTGTTTTTGAAAGAAATTAATACTTTTATAAAGACACAACACCTTAAATTAATCTAAAGTAACAGTAGACTTTCATATTAATTTCAAAATTTCCAATAAATGCTTTTAAACTTTCTATTCATAATCCTAAAAAGAATACTGAAAGAATGCTGAAAAAAATAAAATAAATAAATTATCACAGTCTTCAGAAAAATATGAACCAGCACAACTGTTTTCAGGTGCTTCTTCAGCAGCAAATCAGCATATTAGAATTATTCTGAAGGATCATGTGACACTGAAGACTGAAGTAATGATGCTGAAAATTCAGCTTTGCATCAGAGAAATAAATTATATTTTAAGATATATTCAAATAGAAAACAGTAATGTTAAATTGTAATAATCTTTCACCATATTACTGTTTTTACTCTTTTTTTTATTAAATAAATGCAGCCTTGGTGAGCGTAAGAAACTTATTTCCAAAACATAAAAAAACTTGCTGACCACAAACTTTTGAACATTATTTTTTGCACTTTCCCATCTCCATGAAAAACTGCATGCTTTCAGTGTGCATGAAGCAGTCAGTCTTAAGGGCCATTAATTAAATGAAAGCACATATTAAATGAATATGTTGTAGATGTAAATTGGGATCCAACCAAAAACTCTGATCCAGAACAATGCATATTCTGGGACTTCTTTTAGAAAATCTTGCTGACCCCGAACTTTTGAATGGTAGTGTAAATTGCTAACAAGTTGCTAAATAAGGATCACAACTACCGCAAGGATGTGAGTTTACACACTTAGTGAATCGGAAAGCGGCTGTAGTCCTTCAGTTTTTCCCTGCAACCTGAAATCATAAACAATTCTGTGCTGTGGGACTTTAAAGTCAGCTTTGTAATCTTTGAAAATCTAATAACTTCCTCTTTGTTGCTACAATCACAGAGGCCTCACAGAAATGTTGATTTAACCCTCTTAATTTAATATTAGTGTGAGAAAGGTTAAAGTCGGCATGAAACGGAAGTAGCGATTGTCCAGCTCGTGACCGGAAGAGAAGATGAGTCGTTTTGAGGGGGAGGGGAGGTTAACGTTTTTGATTAAAGATTACGAGGGCACATGAATTAAAAAAAAAATAATGAAGTGCACGGATAAATTATTTATAATAAACATTACAGTATTCCATTAAAAAATAAGAATTTTCAATTTTGATTTCATGGTGACTTTAAGGCAATAATAGCAAATAGCAATAGATTGAAAGAAGAAGTGTTGCCATTGGAATACAAGGTGTTATTGTAGGAATACTCAGAGAGCACTGGGGTTACTTTATCAGTTCATGATGGATTAGTGTGGAAAACTGGGTCAATAGCATTGTTAGATCAAGGCCAAACACAGAGAGAAGGGTGTAGTACCTACAGTTCTTTATATCACATTGTGTCCTGTTATTCCCTCACACTAGCCTTACCCGCCCCCACACCTCCACTATTGCTAAAAGTAGTCTAATATTCTGATCCGAGCCTTCAGACGCTGCCGCAACCCTGTTTGCTCCCAAGCTAACCTGCGCTGTGTGCTTGAGTCATTTCCACAAGGTTACAGGAAAACGCCGTTCTGGCAGAAAGTGGCCTCTGTTGAAGTGAGCAGTCAGCTAAGAATGAGAGCGCTAGCGGTTTGTCAGCTAGAGTGCATATTTGTGTGTTCTGCCTCGCTGACTCAAGTCGAGGCTTGTAATGATTAAAGGACGCTGAAGGTGAATCAGTGTCACCTCCTGACACACACTGAACACTGCCTACCTCTATTTTACATAAATACTCACACCAACGGATGTGAAGATGTCAGTCTCAGTCTAAAGCACCTCTTAGATTGCTCTCTTTTGACCGAAGGCATCAGACGTACAGCTACAGTATGTTGTCCCGGCATTGCAGATGGGACAGTCATTCTGGGGCGCACACAAAATCACTGCTGTCCTGCTCCATGATTAGGGCTGCCAACTGAGAAAATGCCTTTGTAGAATATGCAGAAATGCCTATACAGTTTCTCTGGTCTACGTTCTGAAGAATTTGTTTCATATTTTGGTCACAACTTATTTTAAGGTCCAATTCTCGCTATTAACAAAAACCACATAAACACATTTCATTACACCAAATACACAAAATAATGTTCTTTTTATCAGCATCATATGAACCCTTTAAGTATGCCTTTTGCCTCAAGAAACTCCTAATTAGTATTAGTATTAGTATTTTAGTAATTGCTTATTAGTAGTTAGTAAGGTAGTTGTTAAGTTTAGGTATTGGGTGGGATTAGGGATGTAGAATATGGTCATGCAGAATATGTGCTTTATAAGTACTAATAAACAGCCAATATGTTAATAATAGGCATGCTAATAAGCAACTAGTTAATAGTGAAAATTGGTCCCTATACTAAATTGTTACCCCTATTTATTGCTGTATAATATACGCAATGTATACGAACAACATGTGGTAACATTTTACATTAGGGAAGACATATTCACTATTAACTAGTTGCTTATTGGCCTTGGTGAACATAAGACACTTTAAGGTTAAAATGTTCACTGTTAACTATTAGCTACAACTTTTGCCTCAATAAACTCCTAATTTGCGGTTTATTAAGAGTTAGTATAAGGTAGTTAATTTTAAGTATATGGTCATAAAATATGGTCATGCAAAATAAGACATTAATATGTAATTTATAAGTATTAATAAACAGCCAATATTAATATACATGCTAGTAATGTATATATATATATATATATATATATATTAATATAAAGTGTTACTGACATACACAAAACTTTAAAAAGATAGCTACTCACTACCACAAGGATGTGTTTTTACATGTTTAATGAATGAAGGACATCAGTTGTAGTATTTTCAAATAGTTGTATCTCGGTCAAATATTGTCCTATTGTCCTATGGAAAGCTTATTTATTCAGCTTTCAGATGATGTATAAATCTCAATTTCCAAAAATGGACCCTTATGACTGGTTTTGTGGTCCATGGTCACATATGTGTATGTCCGATTATAATTATTATTTTGTTCATTTTATTTTATTATTTATTCATCCTTTTATTTTATTTTGTTTATTTATTTGCTTTAAATAGCCTTTTGCGAACTCTATTTACAAATATAGAGATATATTATGCAAAAATAATAATAATAATAACAACAAGTTACATTTTTAATTACATCAAATTGTTCTATACATTCTTGCTACAGTAAGTCTGACTAATGTATGTTCTGCCGCTGTCATTGAGTGAATTACCACAGGAATTATTAAATAGTCATTCTGGATCAACTGTGCATTTATATCTACTAAATATACTCTCTTATATATATAAGTATACTAATAGTACTTGCATGTAGGGTATGCAACAGAAGTGCTGAAAATATGCAGAAAACATGTGTTGCACATATGTTAAACTGAGTTCAGTGACACTTGGCCTGAATTATAGGGTCCAGTCCAACAAAATTGGTCTCAGATACTTTCCTTTCAAAGCAAACAGTCTTCAGCCAAGGATATGGCTCAGAAAGCGGTCGCTATGTTAACTTGAGCCAGAATACCAGAGTCTTGTGATATCCAGAATCAACAGATGATTTGTGCCAGTTCATATGTGTGTGTGTGTTTGTGTTTTCCAGTGACCTGCTGTCCTCAGACTATGTGGAGATACACTATGAGAATGGGAAGCCCATCCTTTGGAAGGTATGAACCAAAAACATTCATTTTTTGTCATTTCACTCTGGACTGTGTGTACTTTTTAGAGAATAGGTAGTCATATAGTAGCTATTTTAATCATTGCATTAATAATAACTACAGTATAATTTCATTTGAAAACTTTGAAAACTGCTGTACAGTACCTCACACACCAAGATTGTTATTATAATTGAGGAACCAAAACAGTACAGTTGCTTTCATACTTATTATACTGTGTAAATTATGGTAGAGTCAGTTTGTTTGTTTTTTCAGTTTGCCTTGCAATAAATTATTTTTTATCCTTCCTGTTAATGATATCCATAATAAATCTCTGGGACACAAATGGAAAATGGTTTTCTGAGTATGTGCCAGAAGTATAAACTCATAATTACACTATAGTCAGGTAAGATGTCAGTCTAAATTCATGGGTACACTGTAAAAAATGACCGTGAATTTAATGGTAAAAGACTGTAAAAATGCTACAGTAAAAACTTGTTAAATGGTTAACGTTAAATTCCCCTACTATATACGGTGAAAAACTGTATTATCATCACCACCTACATTTGGTGGTTATCAGTGTATTACAAAGGTACAAAACAGATTTCAGTACTTCAATAGGTTGGTATATTAACATTATATCAGTTAATGGAATTACGGTATTTAACTGTAAATTTAAGTTAAAACCGTAAAACCTAAAATGTTGCTACCGTATTTGTTACGGTAAAATCCTGGCAACCACAGCTGCCGGTTTTTTACCGTAAATTTTACTGAATTTTTTTTTTACAGTGTAGGTTTCACTGTAAAAAAATGATTTTTCAAAGTTGTAAATAAAACACAGACTAGGAGTACAAGAAAATTGTCAAATGTGTTTATGTTACCAGTAATTATCTCCTCTAACTCAGTGTCGTGTTTTGGTTGAATATAATTTCATTAGAAGCTATCATAACTCAATAAGCCGAACCATTTGTTTTTCGAGTGTAACCGCCTGCAGTGTTGTGTGACGGTAGAGATCAGATGTCTCTGGAAGATGACAGATGTGACATGAGGATTATGAGAGAGAGGGAGAGACAGAGAGAGATGCTGATAGGTGTTAAATCAGGAAGCATCTGTGACTTCACTGCTGAATCAGCGCGGCTCAGTTCACCTGCAGATCAGCTCACATGACCAGCAGACATTACTCTGCTGCAGCAATGCAGAGAGAGCCTGACACTCCACGCGGAATCTCTTTATTACATATAGTATAGAAACATTAGACGCTGGCATTCATGCATTTATATGCCAAAACGTCCACTATTCAGTCAGTTTAAAACATCACTGGTTCTGCACAGTCCATCTGTTGTGGCAACAAATGCATTATGGGGAACAGGACAAAACTGAACATGTGTGTGTGTGTGTTGTCAGGGTGGAGAGCACTGTTATTACCACGGCCAAATCAGAGGGAATGACAACTCTCGTGCCGCTCTGTCCACTTGTAACGGTTTACAGTGAGTACAGGAGTGAATCCATCCACTTAATGCCTCAGTGCTTTCTCTAATATATACTGACTTATTCAGCTGTGTCTGTATTTTTTCTCATTTGTAAGTTGCTTTGGATAAAAGCAGCTAAATTGATAAATGTGCCCGTTTGTCTCTCTCTGGTTTTCAGTGGCATGTTTGATGATGGAGTCCATGTGTACATAATTGAGCCACTTAAACAGAATCACTCTATGGTAAGTGTTAATTTCATACACACTTTACTTTAACCAGCTCCACAGTCTAACTCTAAAAACATTTCTGTACAAATTATGAAACTTAAGCACATTGATGACTGAACATCTAATTATTTTACTATTATTTTTAAGTGAATCGTACAGATTTAACAAAATTCTTATAGATTTTACCTGAAATGTGTGAGATATACATAAATAGTAATAAGTGATAGATAGTAAATTCATAGTACAGTTAGACATCTTTAAGGCTTACGACATTTGGTTAAATTGATACTTTAATTTAATAAAGACACATTAAATTGATCAAAAATGAGAGTGAAGACATTTATTATGTTACAATACATTTAAAAAAATGATCTTAATCAAACTTTCCATTCATCAAAGAATAATCTAAAAGAATAATTCAATAATCTTTCACAATATTACTGTTTTTCTGTATTTTTGATAATAAAAAATACAGTCTCTCTGGACATAATAGTAGTGTATGTTTGGGAAATCTCATGAGAATGTTGAATATGTGTTTATGTCCTATAAGCGTACAAAAAAAGCACAATTTTCCATGACTTTACTGGCTTGCATTAAAGGTATAGTTCACCCAAAAATGAAAATTCTTTCATTAATAATTCACCCTCATGTCGTTTCAAACCCGTAAAACCTTCGTTCATCTTCAGAACACAAATTAAGATATTTTTAATGAAATCCAAGAGCTTTCTGACCCTGCATAGACAGCAACACCACTACCACATTCAAGACCCAGAAAGGTAGTAACGGCATTGTTGAACATTTCAGTTGCGTTGCTGTCTATGCAGGGTCAGAGAGCTCTTGGATTTCATCAAAAATATCTTAATTTGTGTTGCGAAGATGAACGAAGGTCATATGGGTTTGGAACGACCTATGGGTGAGTAATTAATGACAGAATTTTTATTTTTGGGTGAACTGTCCCTTTAATTTGGGAATATGAAGCCTGCAATGAGAATATGAGATATAGGACAGAACATATTCAAATCTGCTGTTTTGTGAATGGCTCAGCTAATGATACTAGCTCTAGTGTAGCCATTTCCTCTGCACATTAACTGCAACTGTAAACACTTTAATGAACTCCATTCACTCTCTCCCTACGCACACTGGCTTTACACACTCTCAACTTTTTTAAACCCAGTCAAAAACCAAACGGCACAATTCATTATAAACACTAATCAAAAGCACGAGGCCTTTTAAAGCACCATAGCATGTGTGCATATAATTTGACATGCTCAGCTGAAGTCACTTTGGATGAACTTGGTAAGATCTGGCTGCTCATGCTTTGTGTTTTTCATTAGGAGGGAACAGCGAGACCACATGTGTTACGCAGGACGACTATCCTGCAGCAAACCCCATCTGCAGGAGAGGAAGGTACTTACAGCACAGCTCTCTCTCACCTCCAATCAACACCAGATAAAGGAAGAGTTCTCACAAAAATGAAAATACTAGCATCCTTGTGTAAAAGAAGTACACTTAATTGTATATGCACTTGTAGTGTACTTCGAATCTTAAAATTATATTATTAAAATCTGTACTTGTAGATAATATTATAATAATGAAATAAAAGGCCACTTAAGTGCATTTAAAGAGAGACATGGCTGCTTTTAAACACACTTAAAGGCTTAGTTCACCCAAAAATGAAAATTAGGCTGCGTTTTACTCACCCCCGAGGCGTCCTAGGTGTATATGACTTTCTTCTTTCAGACGAATCCAGTCGGAGTTATATTAAAAATTGTCTTTGATCTTTCATGGCACTCAGCGGGTGTTGCAT